AAAAAAAAAAAAAAAAAAAAAAAAAGAAGGCATTCTTGTAACATAAACATTTCCCCATAAACAAATAAATGGATTTCATAAAGAGATACTTGTTTTTATCCTTTCCCCATTTCTTCTTATGAATGATGGAGAGCAAGTAAGAATAGTCTAACAATCTTTTTTGTTTTTTGAGACGGAGTCTCACTCTGTTGCACAGGCAAGAGTGCAGTAATGTAATCTTCGTTCACTGTAACCTCTGCCTGCTGAGTTGGAGTGATTCTCCTGCCTCAGACTCCTGTGTAGCTGGGATTACAGGGGTGCGCCACCACGCTAGGCTAATTTTTGTATTTTTAGTAGAGACAGGGTTTCCATGTTAGCCAGGCTGGTTTTTGAACTCATGATTAAGGTGATACGCCCGCCGCAGCCTCTGAATGCGTTGGGATTATAGGCATGAGCCACCGCTCCCGGCCTAGTCTAACAATCTTTTAAGGCAAATTCATCTTCTCTGTGTCCAAATATAACATTTACCACAATAATTTCTGGTTGTGTTCCGTGTTTTCTTCTATAATAGCAATAAGGAAGGAAACCGGTTATGTTCTATTGCAAAGACATAAAACTACAGTTTACTAAACTATAGTAAGGTATTGAGAAATTTTACTTTAGCTTTGCCACTTTTTATTACAAAGAAAAAACAAATGCAACTGAAAACAGATTTTATGGGCAACAAATTGATACACACGATTGTTTTAAGCAGCAAGAATGCTTCAGATGGGCCGGGCACAGTGGTTTATACCTGTAATCCCAGCGCTTTGGGAGGTCCGGGGGCGAATCAGCCTGGTCAACATGGCGAAACCCTGTTTCTCTCTCTCTCTTTTTTTTTTTTTAAAGATGGGGTTTCCCCATGATGGCCAGGCTGGTCTTGAACTCCTGACCTCAGGTGACCCACCCACCTCGGCCTACCAAAGTGCTAGCATTATAGGCGTGAGCCACCGCGCCGGTCTCTATAAAAAATACAAAAAAAGGCAGGGGGCGGCGGCTCATGCCTGTAATCCCAGCGCTTTGGGAGGATGAGGAGGGCAAATCAATAGGTCAGCAGTTCAAGACCAGTCTGGCCAACATAGTGAAACCCCATCTCTACTAAAAATACAAAAAATTAGCCCGGGTGTGGTGGTGTGCGCCTGTAACCCCAGCTACTTAGGAGGCTAAGGCAGGAGAACCGCGTGAACCCGGGAGGTGGAGGTTGCAGTGAGCCAAGATCGAGCTATTGCACTCCAGACCTGGCAACAGTGTGAGACTCCGTCTTAAAAAAAAAAAAAAAAAAAAACGCACACATACACACAAAATTAGCCAGGCACGGAGGAGGCAGAAGTTGCACTGAGCCAAGATCGCACCACTGCACTCCAGCCCAGCGACAGAGCAAAACTCAAAAAAAAAAAAAAAAAGCTTCAGATAAATGTTCTTTTCTGTTCCAAAGAGTTCTACTATTCATGTAGAAAATTTCAGCTTTACTGAAGAGAAATACAGCTGATATCTAAGAATCATGTGACAGCTGACAAGAGGAAGAGCAGAGGGAAGACGGTGGAAGGAACAGGTTATGCAAAGGAACAGTGGTAGGAAGGAGCCCCTGATGCCTCGTAATAAATTAAAGGTGGCCGGTGTGGACCCACCTAAAGGGAGAATGGAAAGAAAAGATAAGGCTCGATCCTGCTGGGTTCCATAGACCACATTACCACTTGCTTTCAAAAGATTTCCCAGTCATCATCAGATATGATCATTTTGATCACTCAACAGCAGTGCCGATTTTCCAACTTCTGTTTTTCGATTCAATAAAAGTAGGTCATCTGAATTCTAAGAATTTAACTTCTAGTCATTTGAGTGGTAAGAATTTAAGTTCTTTACAAGGACGCCAATGAGATACCTTTTACTTACAATGGTTAAAAAACAAAGCAAAGTAAGACAAAACAAAGCCCATAAACATTCTAATCATTCGGATTTTTCCTACACTGGTTCTACTGCAGAAAATGTTCCTCCTCATCTGTGGCTGAAACAGGACACAGGAGCTCAACATCACTGTAAAGCGAATTATAATTTAAATCTCAAAAGATGCTGTGTTTTTTTCACTAATAGATTTATGGTACTTTAACTGCTTAAAAGAAACTCAATGAAATGGAAAGCTGCGTACCGTGTCCTAGTTCTATCCGCACATACTCACAAAAAGCTGCCCTTTGACTTTCCACTTCGAACCCATATTGCTCAATTCTGAAATAATTCTTTTCCAGTCAACACCAAACTTTTAGAAGACAATTTACTGGACACGCACACACACACACGCCCCCCTCAATGCCATGCTTGGTATCGAGGACTGTGCCCAGCAGGTTAAACTACCCCCAAGGGCTCTCAACAGGAAAACCGCAAAAGCCAGAAAAGATAAACAGAAAGCGCTTCACAGTCTAATTACAGGCACTGTGGACGATAATGCAGAGTAGAGCCGGGAGAAGGGAGGAAAGCGCCACGGAAGATGAGTGGAAGAGGTTCAAGTGGCTGCCCTGGGTCTCCGACGCATTTCCTGGGCCCGCTTAACAGGCTGGGTGGCCGCAGGTCGTGGGATCCCGACGCGGTGAGCCGTGGGGCCGAGGGGCCGCCCGGCGGAAGGGCGGAGGGTAACGCCCCCCTTCCCCAGGCGGAGAGGGAAGGAACTAGAGGTGTAGAAACCGCCTCGTACTGAACAGCCAAGCCGAAGAGAAGCAGCTCCGCGGCCTCCCAAGCCCGGGCCCGACCCCGCTCCCCAGCCCGGGCTCGCCTCACCCCCGCGGCCAGGCACTCACCAGCTGCAAGCCCTTGAGAACGCGCCGGAGCCAGGGGAGTCGGCCCAGGAAGAAGTAGGCAGCGAGGCCGCTCCGGGGCCCTGTGGCGGAGCCCGGGTCCTCCTCCGTAGTGGGGCTGTACACCGCTCCGTTCTCCATCGCCGAGGGCCGGGGAGCGCAGCAGCCACAGCAACCTCACCGCCCACTTCGCGGACTCCACAAGAGCCCGGGAGCGCGGAGGGGCCGTCACTTCCTGGGCCTCCTCCCCGGCTTCCGTCCGACTCCGCCCCGCCCTCGCCGCGCCCCGCCCCCTCCCTCCGCTGACTTGCCTGTTAGCTCTTGGGCTTCTTCCGACGTTCGTCCAAGAACTGAGTTCATTCTGTGAGCCTTTGATGGATTTCTCACCTCCCTCCATATTTCATCCTCCTGACATTCATTCATTCATTCATTGCTCAATGTTTTTTAATACTTTAAGCGTGCAGGGAACCCCGTTCTAGGTGCTAGGGTGACGGCCAAGAAAGGATCCCGAGGAACAGACGATAAACAAGAAAACAGATTAATAACAATTTCCGATAGTGATAAGTGACGTGAAAATAGCTGATGTGAAAATATGACATGAAAATAGTGGATTCAGCACTTCTGGCGGCTTGGTAAATTTATTTTTTAAAAAAAAAGGAAGAAGAAAGAAAGGGATGGATAGTCGAGTGCTCTACTTAAATGGCCACTGCGAGGTATCAGCTGTATTTCTCTGCAGTAAAGCTAAAATTTTCTACATGAATAGTAGAACTCTTTAAAACAGAAAAAAATGTTCATCTGAAGCTTTTTTTTTTTTTTTTTAAGTCTTACTCTGTCGCCCAGGCTGGAGTGCAGTGGTCAGGAAAGTCCTCTCTGAGGACCATGATCTTTGAGTTGAATGAGACGCAAAGTAGGAGAAGCCAGGCTTGGAAAGATCTGGGGAGAACCTTTCATGCAAGTGCAAATGTTCGGAGGACCAAATGAGTTTGGCTGAATCTGAAGCCCAAAAGCCTGTGTGGCTAGGAATAAGTACGGGAGGAAAGGAGATGAAGTTGGAGATGTAGGCAAAGGCCAGATAATAATAAAGGCCTTGCAGACAAGGGACGAATTCAGCTTTCATTTTAAGTACAATGAGTTGCCTGTAAGGATTTCCAGGATTGCTCCCTCCCACGTCTCTCCAAATTCCATTTAGGCTCACTTTTCTGTTGGGCACCAGCCCCAGCCCTGTACGTGGGTGCCCTTAGTCCTAGAGGTGACGAGGGATTGAGAAAAGGAAATAGAGACAGAGACACAAGGGTAGAATTCACAGCGTTGGTCCCCAGCTCTGGGCTCCAAACACTTTTATTATGTGTGTAATCTCATTGATCTTACAGACATGAAAGGGAGGGTAAAGGGGTAGGTAAGGTAGTGGGAGAGAGCACTTGTGATCCTTTTAAGACATGCTAAACTAGTGCTCTGAGTTTATCACCAATTGCTATCGGGTTGCTGCGGCATCAGAAGTATAGTGGCCAGGGAGCCACTGGGTCTGCCACACTCAATGCATCAAGGGCTTTTATCTCCCTAGCACTGAGGACATAGAGCAGTTAAAATCACTCCATATTCTGAGAACCTAGACAGAGCCTGAGGCCTTCCGTGATCTCTGCCCTGCAAGGCTTTTCTCCTCCTTGCCAGCTCCCATCTGCAAAGACCCTCCTGGATCTTGTGAGCAGAGGTCGACTCCCTTCTCAGAGATCTCTGCACAGGCCCTCTTTACAAGACCCTGATGCAGTCTCCATGTTGAGAAGGCACTCTTGGGACCAGAGCAGTATTCCCTGCTCTGCAGCCACTCTGAGGTGTTCCCCGGTGTACCTGCGCTCTCGGTTGGTCTTTACCTTAGGCCTCCTGTTGCTGCTTGATTTCTGATTAACTGCACCGGTAATATAGTTTAGTTCTGTGTGTAAACTTCAGTGTACTCTGAGCCAAGCAAGCTTATAATTATCTAGCTACAATTAACATAGGTCTCCCCCTGACCATGTTGACCCACACTTTTCAAAATCATTTTGTTTCTCTTTCTTGATCACCAACTGCTACAGTCACATATGTTAATTTTGTGTGAACTTGTCAAGGAGTGCAATTATATTTTAACAACTGAAGTTGATTGAGTTACAGAATCTTCACTTTCGAATGAGACAACGGAGGCCAAGAGGCTGAAATCATATGCAAGGTCAAACAGCCAAGGGCAGCTGGAATGCAGGCATGGGCACTCTGACTCGAAACCTAGCCACTAACTTCTAACCCAGCCACCGTCAGCCTCTGACTCCTCTCCACTGGTCTCAAACCCACGGAAGGCCAGGCACGGTGGCTCATGCCTATAATCCCAGCCCTTTGGAAGGCTGAGGCGGGCAGATCACGAGGTCAAGAGATGGAGACCACTTGGCCAACATGGTGAAACCCTGTCTTTACTAAAAATACAAAAATTAGCAGGGCATGGTGGTGCGCACCTGTAGTCCCAGCTACTTGGGAGGCTGAGGCAGGACAATTGCTTGAACCTGGGAGATGGAGGTTGCAGTGAGCTGAGTTCACACCACTGCACTCCCGCCTGGTGACAGAGCGAGACTCTGTCTCAAAAAAAAAAAGAAAAAGAAAAAGAAAAACCCATGGAAGAGAGAAGGGATTTCTCCTGCTGTCAGCTGCCACATTTATCGTATCTTCTTCATGACTCCAAACCTCCCTTTCTTCTTTCAGTAACAAACAAAAGCTCCCATTCAAATGAACAGAGACAAGTAGATACTGCTTTGTTGGGGCCACCTACAACCAGCCAGAACTATCCTTCTGTCTTTGATTACATGCATTCTGAATGTCCTCCTGAGGCCAAGATGCCACCAATTCTCTCCAACAAAAGAAGGCCACTGTATTTTCACCAGGGCTACAAGGATTCATTGCCTCATTATTCTTCAAGTCACTCTCATCCTAAATTGAACACTACTGATGTCTAAAATTTCCTTTGAAATTCATCCAAAATTAAGATGAGTTGATGATTAGAGAGATGAATAAAAGATTTGTGATAGGCTGGGCGTGGTTGCTCATGCCTGTAATCCCAGCACTTTGGGAGGCTGAGGTGGATGGATCACCTAAAGTCAGGAGTTCGAGACCAGCCTGACCAACAAGGTGAAACCCCATCTCTACTAAAAATACAAAAATTATCCAGGTGCGGTGGTGTGTGCCTGTAATCCCAGCTACTCGAGAGGCTGAGGCAGGAGAATCGCTTGAACCTGGGAGGCGGAGATTGCAGTGAGCCAAGATCGTGCCACTACACTCCAGCCTGGGCAACAGAGCAAGACTTCGTCTCAAAAAAAAACAAAAAACATTTGTGATAAAGCAACTGTGGTAACATATTCATGGTGATATCTAGGTGAAGTATACGGGTGTCCACAGTACAATTATTTCAACATTTCTGTATGTTTGAACATTTTCAAAATAAAGTATTGAGGGCAGGTTACAAACAAACAAGGATACTTTGAGACGGGAGAGATGAACAGACCATCAACCCTCTTGGTTTGTTTAGTGCACACTTACGCACTTCTCTAGGGGTCTCTGCTTCTCTTTGCAATTTTAGAAGACAAGAATTTAACCTGTGATTCATAAACTCCAAGATGGCAAAGAATCATCTGCGAGTTTACTTAAAAAATAAAGATTCTTGGAGATCTAGCCCCAAAGATTCTGAATGTGGATGGGTTTTGGGAATACACTTCTTTAACAAGCCCTTCATGTGTGTCTGGGAAGAAATCCATCCACAAAGAGAAACACTGTTTTGTAGTGTGAGAAAAGTGCAAGCCTCTGTGCAGGACAGTGGACATGCCATATTTTATTTGCTCTGATTGATTTGGGGGTGCCCAGGACTTAGAGACTAATATTTCACCCAGGTAAAGAAGTGGCATTCCTTATGTTTTCTTCATAAATTGAAAGACCAAATAAAAATGTTAGTGCTTCATGAGCAAACACTTGTATAGGAAACTCTTTTGATGGGCATATTCACACAGAAAACTGTCACCCTCATTAATGAATAAACAACTTGGAATAGACAATGGTGGGATGATGTTGAAATGAGAAATCGTATTTATGGTGAAAAAATACAACAAAAAGAAGAAAGGAAGATACGCTAAATTTAGGTTTTAAAGAATATTCACTGTTCTCCTTTAATATTAGATATTTAATTTTTTAAATATATATTTTATTGCATTTTAGGTTTGGGGGTACATGTGAAGAACATGCAAGATTGTTGCATAGTCCAACGTTGGCTATGCAACAATCTTGCATGTTCTTCACATGTACCCCCAAACCTAAAATGCAATAAAATAGGGGTGTGTTTTTGCTATTATAATGAGCAAAAGGTCAGTTTGAGGACAGGTAAAATCAAAGTGCTCATGCTCTTTACAGGAGAAATTCCCTACTGAAGATAGCTTTGCTTGATTGAGTTCAATCACAATTCAAATGCTGAGGCTTATTGTGTTGACTCTTCAGGTCACCACAGTTGCTGCGTCCTGAGGACACTGGCACTTCCTTGACTACCTGTCCTGCCTCAGTACTACTTTTTCAGTTGAGAGTTTTATTTTTCAGCAGCTCCTGCTAAAAATTTTTTTACTGGCTCTCTTATTGGTATTAGCACAGTTAGGCAATGATGTGAATACAAAGTTTTATAGATGCTGTCCTTCAATGACATCGCTGTACTGTCCACAAAGGACTATGTTACAAAATAGAAAGAGTTATGCATAAAAAAGATACAAATTAAATATGTTGCTAATTCAGAGCAGAGGGAAATGACTTTCAGTTAAAAGGATCACTACAGTGGAGCTTCAAGGCGGGATTAAATTATACTTGAGTTTGGACACACAGATACAGGGCAGAATGTATTCAGGCAGTAGGGCGGTACCAAGGAAGGCAAAGAAAGTATGCAAAGGCACAGTGAATGACGGAGCAGGAAGGACAGAGTAGCTAAGGAATATAAGCTCAAGATCAAATTTTGGAGGGCTTTAAAAATCAGGGTAACTACCAGGGGCAGTGGCTCACACCTGAAATCCCAGCACTTTGGGAGGCTGAGGCGGGTGGATCACCTGAGGTCAGGAGTTTGAGAACAGCTTGACCAACATGGAAAAACCCCATCTCTACTTAAAAAAATATAAAATTCTCCAGGCATGATGGAGCATGCCTATAATCCCAGCTACTCGGGAGGCTGAGGCAGGAGAATTGCTTGAACCCAGGAGGCAGAGGTTGTGGTGAGCCAAAA